ACTTCATTCACCATATTCGATTCAGAGAGATATCACTTTATTTTTCGAGTTATTCTTAGCAAGCCCCTTTCATTTGATATCCATATTGTAGGAGTGCATCAAAATAAATAAACCGCCATCTGGTGTGTTCCGCCATGTTGGATTTCGAATAACGTCACACAGCTAAACATGCATTGTCATCGAAACTAAACGTTTACAAAATTTCGGCTCAATCGACTGAAAATATCTGCTTTAACATTGAGTTTCAAGATTCCACCCGAACAAACATAGTTAGATACGTTGCAAGTTAAATAAAAGCGTGTAATTAGCGTTTGACTAATGAATGGATGGGCAAACTCGGAAATGATTTCGTGTGTATGTGAACAGTTTTGCTAATGTAGTATTACCAAAACAATATTTTAGTTACATTTTTGATTCACATTTGTAGATCACCATCGGCATTAACATACTATACGGGTCTTATTTTATTACAAAGTATTTAATGCAGAAGTCAAAATGGTGTTTAGCATGGACACACATTTGAAGCTGCTTACCCCGTCCCTTCTTCGTCAGGTCTTCTCGTCACCCATACCACAAAGCTTGAAGATAAAAGTATTCGACCAGTGCGTCTTGCCAGTACTCACATATGGTGCCGAAACGTGGACACTAACGGTACGACTACTCCACAAACTCAAAGTCACCCAGCAGGCGATGGAAAGAGCTATGCTCGGAGTTTCTCTGGTGAATAAGATTCGTAACGAAGAAATCCACCGGAGAACCAAGGTTACCGACGTAGCCTTCCGTATTTGCAAGCTGAAGTGTCAATGGGCTGGTCACATTTGTCGCAGAAGCGATAACCGTTGGAGTAGGCGTCATAGAGTGGAGACCGCGTTTAGGTAAACGTAGTGTGGGACGCCCCCTGGCTAGACGGAGCGACGATCTGCGCAAGGCGACTGGCAGCAACTGGATGCGTGAAACCGAAGATCGGGCGAAGTGGCGCGCATTAGGAGGGGCCTATGTCCAGCAGTGGACTGCCGCAGGCTGATGATGATTACCCCGTTCGGTGACGGGCCATAATACGTACGTTGATTCTATTTCTGTTCACCTCCTTTATCTATTTCTAGAATGAGTGTCATGAAAGTTGACACAGATATGTGCTTCAGTACCGTAGATGAAAACATATTCACCAGCCATTATCATTTGCGTGTAGTGCAGCATATGGTAATTTGTCGAAAATAAAGTAATTGAGCCATTTCAGTTGTGATGTATCTGTACTTTAATATAAAAGATCCCTGTCTTTCGCCATTTGTTTTTTCAAAATTCTTTTACTTATCCATCTTGACCCGTGGATTGTTAAGAGTCGATAACGAAAAAATTTTACGTGATTTCTTCCTTTTTTCCTTTCTGAGAGTCTATAATATAAATATCACCGACCTTAAAATAAGAAAGTATTTTATTTTTTACAGTTTTTCATTTAATACCACAAGCTCAATGTAACAATCATGTTGTCTGAATAAATATTTATATATTCATGTCCGATTTTTTCATCCTAAGAAAGCTCTAATTCAACCGAAAAAATTCAACCGAATTTTTTCACAAAATTTATATGCCATCCTGCAGTATAGTCTATTTTATAAAATTTCAAACATTAAAATCTATTCACAATTAACGAACAAATGGCGTAATACAGACACACACACACACACACACACACACACACACACACACACACACACACACACACACACACACACACACACACACACATATATATATACGGCCCCCTACCCCTACCACTGTAGGAAGCAATCACTGGGATTTTGGGAAATGCTTTAGTTTAGTAGTCATAAATGTTTTGTATTCACAATAGTAAAAAGAGGTACGGTATAAAGTATCAAATGTTAGACAATGAAATATGATCATGATTTATGATTGTAGCTTAGCCACACGTGATATATTTCATCGTCTAACATTTGATACTTTATTAACGCACCTTTTTTTACTATTGTGTATACAAAACATTTATGACTACTAAACTAAAGCATTTCCCAAAATCCCAGTGATTGCTTCCTACAGTGGTAGGGGCCCGTTCCTAGTATTTGACTGTTACAAGCTGTATTAAATTACATTTTAAAAATATAAAGCGTTATTATTTAAAAAAAATCCTCCAGTGACATGGTTTGCTCTGTATGTATCCATGGGTGTATATATATATGAATTTAGTAGAGTTTTGTAGTTCAGATTTTATCCACTTCCAGACGTCGTAATAATCTAAACATTTGCAGACGTATTACTAATCTATGATAATACAATAATTTCATGATTTTTTCATGACTATGGCCTAGTTTTTTTAATAAGATCGCCACTACTCATTATCAATGCATGTTGTTTAAGACGGCTAGACTTCAATACAAATAGGAGGTTAACAATTCGACTGAATGTTTTTTGTATGTATGTTACGCGATATCTTCGTTAATTGTGAACCAATATTGATTATTATTTTTCATTAATTAATTCGTGTACTGTTCCACAGACATATATAATAAGCAAATTACTAATATTGATATTTTTAACACATCTCTCAATAACTTAAAACAGACATTAAATTAATATTAATTTAAGTAAGGTTTGCAAGTAAGTTGCATTTATTGATGTTCTTATATATTATATGTATATACCAGATATGTATTTTTTTATTAATGCCTCTGTACTTCATTTTTTTATTATGTACAAAGCCACCATGTAGCTTTCTTTTAAATTTTGTTTAACTTTTCGACACAGTACGTCAGTTTCCAACAGATAAATTGTTTGTATTTTTTTTCATTTACGACTGTTTGTTAAAACTTAAATAGTTGTTTCATACGTATTTGGAGAAAACATTATTCACTAAAGATGGAAAATTAGGGAATGAAGTTTTTAATGTACCTGTTTAGACGACATTTGGTCCTTAGTCCACTCAAAATGGAAAAAATAACTTAATTGAAATTACTTTTAACAAAATGTAACAGCCAAACAAGTAAACGTAATATAAAATAATTTTATTCTTAAGTCTGAGTTTAAATCCTTCTATACAATATATCTTAGCACCAAAATAGAGTTTGAAAGTGTTTTATATTCTTGCAAACTTCCAGGCAAATAATGAATTCTTAAATTTACGCGAACACTACACATTGAATAAAACTAAATTTACGGATTTTATCGCGTTTATTTCACTACTTTTACTTATTTTTCCTTATTTTTTTTACTAACTATGACATTGGGACGTCAAACATCTCAGTCCCCCCCCGTGACCATGGTTGCTGTAAAGTACCCGAAACGTCGGGAATTAAAAAATAAGTAAAAGTAGTGAAATAAACGCGATAAAATCCGTAAATTTAGTTTTATTCAATTTCCAGGCAAATGTTAAAATGTTTATGCCCGAACAAAAACGACTCTTCTCAATGTTTTTATTATAACTGAATGGATGGAATTAGACCGGCAACGAATATTTGGCTATTATTCAGTATTCGACTTAATCGGCTACATTTATTGTAAGCCGTGTAAGAATATCCACTAGCCCATATCGTCCCGTGGGTGTCGTAAGAGGCGACAGAGGGAAATTGAAACAAGTGATGAGGAGCAGCATCTTCCTGATAACAATACAAAATAATAAAAACTGCGGTAGACAGGCCGCTCGCCAAGCATGCATGTGGGAGGTCTATGTTCAGCAGTCAACTTTTATAGGCTGTAATGGATTAAAATGTTCTGGAAACTCATAAGAACTTTGAGGGAAAATTCAGAAAAGCTTAGAGTTTACGCTTTACGAGATGAGTACGGCTGTTTTTGGAATGAGTTTTGAGTTTGAAGGGATAGTATAATTTATGAGGAGACGTCTGAATTAAATCAACTAGAAATACCGAAATAAGAGGAATGAGGTAGTGATATAGTAAATATAGATGAAATAATGAAACTGAGTAAGATTTGGGATATTTAATCTATATTAATAAAGGGAATAGGGTGTATGGATCGGGTATTTTCTATGCGCATGATCACAGAACAGTTATGGGACAAAAACCGGAAAGTTTTTGTGCGTTTATGGACTTGGAAAGGGCTTATGATAGAGTGGATAGGGTTGCTTTATGGCAAACACTGGACACGTTTGGAGTGAATGCTGGCGCTTTTAATAGGGACTCTAGTGCTTGTGTCAGGATAACGTGGCCTACTGGGTTTGATTTGGGATTCATAAAGCTGGGGTGAACAGGATTTTGTAGCTTCTCCGTGGCTGTACAACCTGTTATGGATAATTGTTTAGAAACTTAGAAAGTTGAAGAATGAGGGCAACGAAAGTCTGAGCTAACAATCAAATGCATTTTTACGCCGACGTTCAAATCATATTTGCATTGTTGGTGGTTGAATGACAGGGTAAGAAATTGTGCGATCAGAGAATAGTGTGGTTTGCAAAATGATGTTTGCCATGATTAAAAAAGACATATTGCGTTGGTTGGTCATGTAGAAAGAATAAATGAGGAAAGAGTGACAAAGTAAATTTATAATATAATATATTGAAGATGGGCTAAATTAAGAATACTCTTAAGCGACGAGCAGGCATGCGTAGTTATAATGATGTAAAGGAAGAGAGAGAGGTATGTTAAAATCGTCCAAATGGAAGTACGTTTTCTCTGCCTCTGGGTGACCTCTGACCTCTGGGTGTTTATGTTATATTATGTTTAATCTATTTTAGTTCTTTGAAGTCGGCTTTTACTTTTTAATTAAAAGTTATTTTAAACTTTTAAATTTTTGTTAAAGAAGCGTAAACCTTTTCCATAGATGCTGCATTGATTGATTTTATTACTGATAATTAATTAAATATCGTCCTCATCGATCGGGCTCTTTTTTATCAAAATAATATTTGTATAGATTGTAGGCAAAACATCAATCGTCATGAAATAATACACAAAATTTCTCAATTTGATGACATAAAATTTATATTTTTATTAAGTTCTCGTAATATTGGAAATAAAATACATCAAATTTGTAAAGTATTACTGGAGCTCTTCGGGGAGGGTAATAACTGGAGCAGGGAGAGCTGGAGAGCCAATTACGATGGGAGCGGCTTCCACAACAGTCACTGGTTCAGCTGGCTTGTCAACTACAATGACGGGCTCGGGAACGATTCCGGTATCTACAGGAGTAGGTTGAATTACAGCTGGAGAACCAATAATTTGTCCCTGCTCATTTACATTGATAATGATTTGGACAAGGGGTTGTTTAGTTTCCTCAGCAGGTGCGGCTACAGATTCTTCGACGATCGCAGGACCAACGGAAACACCGTCAGGTTGGACGATAGCAGGGCCAATGACGATAGGCGCCTGTTCGACAATGGCAGGTCCAATGGCGATAGATTCGTGATCAGGTACGACTGGCGTTGGGCCAGTAATACCAGGTACTACCGTGCGGTGTGCCGGGCTTGCAAGAGCCACAGCAATGAGGGCAGAAAGGATCAGGAATTTCATTTTGAGTCTGAAAAAAAAATATATTTACAGCAAAGAACTATATTACTAAATCACATATTCTGGGTTCAAATCCCAGAAGTCACCGCATAATAAAGTTTGCATAAAAGCTACAGTTATTCGTTCATTAATCCGGTTTATTGTGGTTGCTTCACAGTTAACCTCTCACAATTTTCGGAAGTTACTAGCGGAGTTGATCTTGGGCAGGTTTGCATTAAAGAACAGCTTGGTTTCATAATTATCATTAAACAAGATGGTCTCAGGGCAAGAAAGAGTTCACCGCTGTGTACCAACATACCCAACACATATCCCCGATCTTCACGTGAAAAATCTTACAAAATCCATGGCTTCTTAATTATTTTTTTATACAATGGATGTGACAAACGAGCACACAGTCCACCTGATGGTAAGTGAATGCTTTGGCCTATAGACTACTACGTTTATCTTTGATTAACTATCAAAATGCAAATGCGTTGTTACTCCTGAAAATGGCGATGGAATACCTCGTTTCCAATAAAAAGGGTGTCCGGTTCTCTGTACTCAACATACAAAACGCAGCATCATTAAGCTTCTATTTTACGCTGGTATTCTGTGAGAGCGTGGTTCTTCCCTGGTCGAGCCGACCCATTCGTGCTACAATCGTAATGTCGCTGCAGCATATCTATACCACGTAAAAAAGATTTTTTTTGTTTCTCAGGTTGAGCGCATGCTAAACCAGCTCTTTAATCAAAAAAGCGATATTAGTGATGCAGGTGCAGGTCGAACTCAGTTTGCTCTCTCTATATCTATAGAGAGAACAAAATATAATGGAATAATTTTATTCAGTACAGGTTTTATGTAATTGTTATTGAAAGTATTTTTTACCAATGGTTCGGAAAAAAGGTTTTGTCTTGGGAAGAACCCGCAAAAAACCCAGCGGAACTTTTTGGAAGTATATTTTATTATATGAAAAGTTGTACAAGCTATTTACATAATTTATTTTAGAAACAGCTTGGAAGGGACCACCTCATTCCCAGGGGTTATTATCAACCATGTTTTCATTTATATTTTTCATACGGTTTTATTTAATAGAGTATTCAAACTTTTCCTGAGACTTTGTTGTATAATAGCCTATACATACACTGTCCCAAGAAAGAATTAGTGACTTATAAAATTCTCGCGCATTCAAGACATGCGCTTATTGTTTCAACGGCTCACGGGTCTAGAGGTTGTAATCATGAATTGTTTCTGTCAACAAACACTCAGTAGCAGCCCAGAGTCAGGAGGTAAGCTGTGTTCCACCCTCGTGAAGACACTGGACTTGCGCTTCGATTGTGACGGAGTGCCACCGAATTGAGGGAATAGCCAGTATACCTAGACTGACCCACACACACCCATGCTGTACAACCCTGTCCAGTGCAGATGGCAAGCCCCGTTGAGGCTGGCCACCGTGACCGAAATTCGGTCTGAAGGACACTATTTTTTTATACACATTACACAATTTACAAAGAAATAAAATGCATCGCGGATATTACTATAGTCCTCAGCAAAAATCCAAAAGAAAATTGGGAAACTAACGTGATACCCCATCAGCTGACATAATTATTGTACTTTTATAAATACGATTTAAAAAATATATAATGTTGTAAACGTACCTCTTTAGAAATCGTTGTTTAACAAACTATACACGTCGTTCGCAGTTTGTTCATTTTATACAAAACTCTATCTTTGCTAAAATTTGACTTATTAATACGTTCAGATTAATTTTATTGCGCTTAATCCCTTTCATTATGATAACAAAGGTATGGATTAAATTATGATCGATTACAGCTTAAATAAAGGAGATTAATAATTAATTATTATGGATTTGTAAAAGAAATATAAAATTTATAGAAAATACAGTGACAGTAGCAATTATATATTTTAAGAAGGTAAATATAACCGCGTTACAAAATAATACGAGTATAGTGTGCATTACAACCTATTTTGATATTTTATAACTATGTCAAATTTCAATCATGTACTGAAAACACTCAGAGAAAGACTTGTGTGATTGACAAACATCGAATATTCCCTAGTCTCATCATTTCTTTATATCTTGTTATGTTAAAAATACTTTTTTTCGCGAAACAACTATATCATCCGCTGGGAAAAGAACCCTGACTACGGCTTCTTTTTAGCTAATGTCATACGAAATAACTTGGCACCAATGAATGAATTGGTGAAATACTGAGAATTGTTGCCAGGTGGGGTTTCTTATCAATCTTGGAATCCATCTGCGTCCAATAACAGTTTACTTACAGTTCAATTGCGATTTAAAATTAAAGAGTTAGTATAAATATAACAGGCTAGAATGTGTTTCATCTTAGTCCTCAGGGATGAGAATGAAACTATTTCCTTCTTTGTTTGAAATTGATTGGTGGTGTTTATTTTCTAGACTCTAGTGTAGTCACGTACTATCAGATGAAACGTTATCTCGTTTGATCTAATATTCGATTTTGTACACCAGTTTTGTTACCATGTTTTCATTCGAAATATAGAATTTTAGTGGCGCCGACAGATATTGAAATTGGATTGCTAGCAAGCCACGTATTATAGTCGGCCGTCCGTGAACTACCACGGCTCTCTGCACCTAATTTGAATAAAGATTGATTGCAGATATATTTTTGGTATTACATACATTACACAACGAAAATCCTCTAACACATATCTTTCCATGAGTAGAGTAAAGAGCGACAGAGGGAAAAAAATATGGAGAAATGGCAACAGCGTCTTTTTATAACAACTAGAGCGGCCAACAACCCGCCAGCTAAGCGTGGCAACTGTGATGGAATGTTCCGTGTTAGGCGATCTATTAGGGAGGCTTTTGTTCAGCAGTGGATAGAGAGGTAAATGGAGCTATTTCATATAGTTCTCAAAGGTGACCACGCATCCTGTAGCTTACTTCACTCTAAGTTGTTGGCTGATGTTTATTTTTTATAAAATGAGTGTGACAAACGAGCCCATAGTCCACCTGATAGTAAGTAGATGCTGTGGCCCATAGACATCTACATTTATCCTCGATTAAGAATCAAAACACAGCAGTATTAAGCTGCTATTTTAAACTGATATTCTGTGAGAGCGTGGTCCCGGCCCGGTCGAGCCGATTCATTCATGCTACAACCATATTATAGCTGCAGCGTGGCTCTACCACGTTTAGATATAGTGTCCATGAACAACAGTAGCTACTATCAGTCAGATGGACTGTAAGGTCACGTGTCATTTCTGTTTTATATAAAAAGAAAAACATCGCCCCATATCGTCCCGTGGATGTCGTAAGTGATTACAGTGTCAGACGTCTCGCATCTATGACTCTCCTGTCCGTCACCGGTCTTGATTCTTTACGTTTGTATGTTAAGTGGTTATAACGCCATCTACCAGAAGCCATATATTTTTCTGGGATTTCGCACAGTCACCTTATATGACACCCACTGTACGAAACAGGGTGATGTATACATTTACCACGCCACCACAGGTACAAAATATATTTACCTATATAGATATACTCGTAACTGTTGTATTACCTATATAGATTTAACTGCTGAAGTTAAACAAAAACAAAAACATTCATAAAGAACGTAAACAGGATATTATTCACGGAGCGTAGTCCGGTCGAGTACATTCCGTAGTCATATTAAAACCGGCTTTCATTTCCGTTCCACGCGTGACTAACGATTCATCGCTGATTGCGAACGTTTCAGTAAGCTTACATTGCGTTTCTTCCGGTAAAATTATCTTCTATATCATCACTCTATAACATTCCACCGCTGGTTATGGAAATTTCCCGTTTAACGTTTTAGAGTGAATTTGCATAACTGCTATGTTACCGCTTACGACTTCAAATTTATTTTTTAAACTTTACCTGTATAAACATACTGGCTGAAACTGTTTGCTAAAAATATGTAAAAAGGAAATAGAAAAAAAATGGCTAACTGATGCTACCGGTTGCCTGCACACTCACATAACTTTTTTAATGTCGTTTTTAAATAAAACTTCAGTACTAAAACATAAAATTTTATAAAACAACGCCGTTTCATTGGATATTGAATAATCATCACACGGAGTTCAAGTTTTATTGACGTACACGCTATGTTTGGCCATCACAATAATAGATGTCTACTAGGGAAAGGGAGCCCTTTCGCTAGTCTAGATACTTTAGTTCTGCCCACAGAACACTATTACTCTCTACCAAGAGATTCAGGCGTAATTGGGATAGTTGCAACAGAATATAAAACCCTACATGTTTTGATTAATTAGAGCGTTATACATTATCAAAAATTTTAAAGAACATCGAGTAAATGTGTATATGCCAACTGCTATTAAAGAAGATACAAAAATGTAATAAAAATTGCGGATACTGAAGAAATTTTGATAGAAACACTCTAAAAATTTTGTTAGAAAAAAATTTTGGTAGAACCACTCTGCAGCTTTATTATAGATGGTAACTGCTTGCATTATAGGAACCTTCGACCAGGGAATGATTCTAGATAGGGTCTTGAGTTAACCCTTTCCCTGTCCCATGAGTCATATAGGAATACTCTAATTGTTTTACTATTGTGTATATTTCACGTACAGGAAAACTGTTTCATAAATACTGTTCGGACTAAACATGTTGCGGATTGCCTTTCCGTTCCTTCTGACTAAACATTTTGACGAACGTCGTTGCGGATAAATTGAATTTTAAAATATTTATCTTATTTAAGTATATCATTTTTTTTCTTTTAAATTCATTCATCAAAAGTATTCATCATTTCATTAAACGTATTGGTGGATAAATCTCTGTATACTATGAAGCATAAGTATAAGAATTATTAGAATTTGGTTACTCACCATTATCATAAAATATCCCTTATGAAAACAGGAGAAACTCATGAAAAAAAATAAGTGCGGAATAAGTGAAAACTCTGGATAGAAAAAATCTTGATAACGTAATCAATTTTTATGAGCCATCTAACAATTTTAGGCGTGTGTTTATATATTTTATT